AAAACATGCAGCTGCATTCAGATCCTTAAAGTGGAACTTTAGCTAGAAAATTAAGTCCAGCTAGATGACTGTAGACTGGCCCCTTTTGTAAGGATGTAAAACATTATAAACGAGTGCCTATACTGTTTGAAATCCAGTAATATGCTGTCTCACCCTGCTCTGCACATGCTCAGTTGCTGTCCATTTTTAGGCACTGCATAATTTGTAGAGGCCGACCTGCTGACAGCCTTAAAGTGGAATTAAACCCTCCTATCCTTTTCAGCCAAGGAAGCTGCTTCTGTTTGATCTGCAACTGCCATGGTGCTGCATGTGTGAATGAAGTCAAATGCTCTTCAGCCCTCCAAAAATGTTAGTTTCCTGTGTCTTCCTCTGCTCACTGTCATTGCTTCCTCTATACACTATGGGGGAGATTTACTAAAACTGATGCACTTAGAATCTGGTGCAGCCGTGCATAGTAACCAATCGGCTTCTAACATCAGCTTGTTCAATTAACCTCTTCCTGCCGAGCATACACATATGTGCGGCCCCACTGCACTGGACTTTATTCATATATACTTGTCAGTCTTTGTGCTGGGAGTGTGCTGCACGGCGCACTCCCAGCACAGAAACTGGGGTCTCACCAGGAACACAGAGTCCCATACTAACAGTTGGATGTCTGATCACTGCGATAGCCTCTGATTGGCTATCACAGTGATCAGTCACTGTGAAGCCCGCATTTAAAAAAAAAAAAAAAAAAAGTTTGATCTAGGTCAGTGCCAGAGTTAGGGTCAAAGATCAGGGTCAGTATTTTTTTGGGCAAGATTTAAAAAAATAATAATTAATAATTAGTATCAGTGCCAGTTAGTGTCAGTGTGTGTAGGATAAAAAAAGCAAAATGTTAACTATTTTTTCTGGGCTGTACTACAGGTACATACAAAAAAATAACATACACATATGTGGTATCGCTACACTTGTCAGGAGCAGAAGAATTTATTTTGAGTTGTTTTTGGTGATAGGTTATGGTAGTAGAAAGAAATATACAGCAAAATATAACAATAAAATTTCCTTCCTTAAAAAAAAAAAATCAGATATCTATTACCATTTACCACCAAATGAAAACCCAATTGTCCTGAAATAAACAGGGTATAATTCACCTGGATGCACAAAGTAGTTGTGATATGTATGGTTTTACTAACACATATCAAAATTGTGCTTAGGCATTAACATTTGTTTTATCCTTAGGGGGGAAGGGATTAAGCTTTGACAATAAAACCTGGAAGCTGATTGGGTTTTCTGTAGAGTTACATAGTTGGTTAAATAGTTAGTCTGGCTGAAAAAAGACAAAGTCCATTTCAACCATCAAAAAAAAAAAAAAAGTCCCCCGAGAGGCAATCTGATATTCCCTGGATCAACTTTACCTATAAATGTTAGTATCCAGTTATATTCTGTATATCCAAGAAAGAATCCAGGCCTTTTTTAAAGCAATCCACTGAGCTGGCCAGAACCAACTCTTGAGGGAGTCTATTCCACATGTTCACAGCTCTCACTGTTAAGAAACCTTTCCGTGTTTGGAGATTACTTTTTATCCTCCAGACATAAAGAGTGCCCCCTTGTCCTCTGTGATGACCTCAGGGTGAATAGCTCTACACCGAGTTCACTATATGAACCACTGATGTATTTATACATGTTGATCATATTCCCCCTTAATCTCCTCTTCTCGAGAGAATAAATTCAGTTCCTCTAATCTTTGCTCATAGTTGAGCTCCTCCATGCCTCTTATCAGTTTGGTTGTCCTTCCAGAACATTGGGGAACTGGAGAAAGTACAGATACTTTCTCCAGTTCCCCAATGTTCTTTTTATGAACTGGTGCCCAAAACTGAAATGCATATTCCAGATGAGGTCTTACTAATGATTTTTACAGGGATAATATGATATCTCTCTCTCTGGAGTCTATACCTCTTTTAATACAAGAGAGGATTTTGCTCACTGCAGCTTGGCATTGCATGCCATTATTAAGCTTGTGATCTACCAGAACTCCCAGATCCTTCTCCACCATTGATTCCCCCAGTTGTACTCCCCCTAGTATGTATGATACATGCATATTCTTAGCCCCCAAGTGTATAACCTTACATTTATCAACATTAAACCTCATTTGCCACATAGTTGCCCAATTAAACAGTGTATTGAGGTCGGCTTGTAACTTGGAGACATCCTGTAAGGACGTTATTCTACTGCACAGCTTGGTGTCATCTGCAAAGACTGAAATGGGATTTATAATCCCAGACCCTATATTGTTTATAAATATATTAAAAAGTAAGGGTCCCAACACTGAACCTTGGGGTACACCACTGACAACCCTAGACCATTCAGAGTATGAATCATTAACCACTACTCTCTGAATATGCACCAGATTTTGCACTCTCCAGTTTTAGTAAATAACCCCCCATGTTACAACAGGACTAAGGATGAGCTCAGACATTCTCTGAACTCCTCTCTAGTTGAACTTTGCTCCCTTTTTTTTTTTTTTTTTTTTTTTTTGACTCCAGTGAGCTGCAGCCAGGTCATTTAACCCTTGTAGCACATGTTAACAAAGAGGTGAGCTGTAGGGCAAGAATGACTTTGCCAGAAGCTAAAAGGAACGTGAGTTCTAGCTCAGAGACATGTTCAGTGCATGCCCTAGTTCATTTCTAAACAGGACCTAGGGGTTGGAGGAAAGAGCCACCGCATGGTGGGGGACACAGGCAACTGACACTCCCAAAAGACTTGAAAGGTGTCAGGTCTTAAAGAGGCTGCAACACTGGAATGAAGGATAGGTAGGACACACAGGCCGCCAGAGAGATTAGTATAACAGCTCTTCTGTGGTAGGGAGATTAGTTTAGTATTTTTTTTGGAGACTGACAGGGTCTTTTTAAAGTGCTATAGTTTTTTTTTATAATATAGAGATGAAATATGTATTAAATAATAAAATGACCATGTATTCTGCAGAGCATTACAGGAAGCACTGAACCTACCACATCAGTTATTCCTGACGGAGCTCCTACCCTGAACAAATGAACAGTAGACAAAGCTCCTAATATACCATCACTAAGACTTTTCTATTGTGGTCAATAGAGACATGTCACTGGGAGAAATATATAAGATGCCGTTACTGATCTTAAATGCTAATTGCATGGCTGTCATGCCATTTGGGTCACTTTAAAGCTGAAGGTTAGGCATGGATATTTTTTAATTCTTATATTGGTAGTTGTCACTAGCTTCTGAGTCCCTTACTGAGCGGCTGCTCTGCTGCTTAGTCAGCACAGGAAGTAATTCACCCAGCATGGGGGCAATTTAGACAACCCTTTTGCCTTTCTTCAATGAAAGGAAAGCATTCTCTGATTGGATGAGTTGGAGGTCACATTTAAAAAAAATAAATAAACCCGAGGAAATTCATGTGATTGTAATCCCTCACCTTGTAAAACAACCCATTCAGTTTAAAATAGAAATGAAATGCAAAACATTTGTGTATAGATATAAAGAACATACTTTTTCCTTTTTTAAATACTTTTTCCTTTTTTATAAGTGATCACGTTCCCTCTGTTATCAGCTGAAAGAGGAGAAACTGCAGCACACCAAGCTTCCCAATGAATGGCTGTGCAGTGAGTGGGGTGTCAGGACAAGTCTGATCATTGGGGGAGAGCAGGTGGAGTTCCCAGCATAGCTAGATAAATTACCACACTGTGTTTGTAACGGACCCCAGACACCCACGACTGGGTATCTCCGTCAAGAAAGCTGCTTCTCAGGCTCTGGAACACGAGACCAGTGAATCTGGCTATTGTTACCCCAAGATCCAGATGACACCAGATTTGAAGTAAACCAGAAGTAGACTACTTTATTTGAACACAGATACAAGATATATACACTCTGGGGACAATTCCCCTCCCTGCATAATGACACAGGGCAGGGCAATCTACATTTAGTAACAAGAGACACACAGGTATTCAAACTTCACACCAGCAGACAGTCCCATCAGGAGGGAGGGCCGCTGGAGACAACCTCCTACTAAGCTAATACACATAAACACATACATCCCATAATAGTTTGCTCCCAAGCCAGACAAACAATAGAAAATGGGATGCAGCCGAATAACATTAAACAATCAACAACCCCCACCCCACCTATCTCCTAAACACATCTACACAGTCTGAGACAAAGTCCACACAATATTAGGACAGATCACCCTGTACCCCTAAGAGGCACAGGGCGATTTACACATAAGAGGGATATGGGGAGCAGAGACAGGGGTCTCCCCACCTCTTCAAAGTGAGCTGGGTTCCATGGGCCCCCCACCCAAAGTGACTCCTGTCACAGTGTTCTCATGCCAAGTGTGGTCTGTTTTTGATAGGAAATCAAAGGGATTGGCAGAAACACCAGGGATTTCACACAAAGAAAGCAATACAAAGAAAACAGGATACTCTTTTCATATAGTACATGGTACAGCAGGCACATATTAGGTAAAATGAAATGTTTGGTTTACATATTCTTTAAAACAAAAAAGATGGACTCTTAAAAAATGCAGTCTGATTTATGTGTTTTAAAATTGTTACTTTCCGGAAAACCCTACAATTTTTTTGCATTGCAAAATGCGGGATAATGCGAGCAGTGTGAATGAACCCTTAGAATTTGCCTTTAAATCTGGCTATATTTTTATAAAAATTTGAATTCTCACTATCTCAAAATGCTATTTTACTGGCAATAACTATCATACAATGGCTTAAATACTTTGAGTCACTGACCAAATACACCTGTGTGGATCAGGAGTCCTGCCTTTACCCAAATATTGCAGTATGCTTGTCCAGGCTTTCTTACTCAGTGAGTATTAGAACTAGAACCAGCCAGGTAACTAGATTGCCTACTTGTAGCCTATATTATTCTTTAAGTACAGGTTTTGTTTAATTGCATATATGTTTATTTAATAGTTACCTGAAAGATATGATATTTAACATTTATACTTTTTTTCAGCAGGACTAAGGGATGTCATAATGAAACGTCTGCCAGGTATTGCACTGTGGAGGAGTTGTACTCCTTGTTTTTAATTTGGTGGACCTTAACCAGCCATCTCGCAGACTATGTACAAAGTTTTTTATAAAACAACTTCTTGGATCGCAGAATAGAAGACCACCTTATGGTATATTCCTTCATGGGGCTTCAGCTAAGAAGAAGCTGCTCTCATGGCATTGGAGCTCTTTGGCAAAATGATACCTTGCAAAATTACTTGCAGTCTTTAGTCAAGGAGCATGGACGAATAGGAGAAATGTTAAACAATTCATTAAAAGAAGAGGAACGCAAAGCCCTAAATATTGAGCATGCTGAACTGTCCCCTATTTGTTATTTGCTGTGCCAAATACAAGAATCAGAAAAAGAAGGCAAAGAGTTGGAAGCCATGTGTGCTGGTAGGTAATGGACTAGTTCCTGATAAATCTAAATCCAGGTTCTAACCCTAGCCATAGGAAACAATAAGAGGGGAGGGGGAGAGAAGCACAACAACCATAGTGTAGCATGGAAAGTGTAAAAAAAGGCCTCCCAAAGTTAAAAAGGAACTCAGCATGACAGTCAGGTAACCTCTGGGAAAGAGTTCGAACAGGCAAGCAGGATGCCTTGCCTTGGCCATCGGCAAGGCAGCGGAGATGGAATGGAAGTGGGGACTTGCTGTCACTGGAGAGCCAAAGCCATGGGCGGAACACAGGGCCCAGGATATGAAGCCACCTTCTATTGTTGGAGAATGCTGGAGCTTTAAATATGAGAGCTTCTCAAATGTTCACTAAAAAAGGTTAGCCCTTAAGAAGCATGAAAATGAAGCTAGAACAGGAATGCATTTCAAAGCAACAATTTTTAGACAGGCTGAAGAAGAAGCAAGGTTGCTCTGAAACGTGTTCCTGTTCCAGCTTCTTAAGGGATAACTTTTTTTTTAGTGAATAAGCATTTGAGAGACTCTCATATTTAAAGTGTATCTAAACCCAAGAAAATGTGGTGGGCTTCATTATTTTAGTTTAGTTTTTTTTTTCTCCTTAATTTATACCTAGTGATTCTGTCAATAACAGTCTCCGTCCTAGGATAACAATATTTACAGTACATCATATATCTATGGAAGAACAGTGTTGTCACCCTAGGACATAGCTCCAGAAACCGTCCTTTCCCTTTTTCTCCATTGAAAGGGGAATGTGTTCTGTTGTCCTCCAGGAATAGCTGGGAGCAATATAACTGATAAGAATGCAGCACAGAGCTCGCAGGAAGTTATCAGCTCACAAGATTTCTGTCAGAATCAACAGATATCTTTTGCACTTATCGAACAGATATATTCAACCACTTTAACAGGAACAAATAAGTGAAGGTCATGCCTTTAAAAATAATATGCAGACCCTGTACACAAAAGTTTTTTTCTTTATTGCAAAAAGGTCAGGACAACATGCCACCATCTGTTTTCTATGGAAATAGTTAAATGTTCAAAACTGTGGATGGCAGGTTGACTTGGTCCATTTAATTACCTTTTCTAAAAACCTGTTGTGTATACCACTGGACTTGGGGTGCATCAACATGACCACCGAAAGAGTTATAGGTTTAAAGCTGAGATACCCATTACTGTCCTCTATAGGAACTATAATTGAATGTTGTTCATTAACTGCTATAATTACTGGATTTTTTTTTAGATCTCACTTCCAGAGAAGAGGAACAGTTGCTGAGCCTTGCACTGGAAGAAAAGGATGCTATAACTCATAACATCACTCAGTTGCGTACAAAGGTGATATAGTCAATACATGTATTGTTTAAAATATACTTTTTAAAAAAAAAAAGTTATATAAGCAGAGCCAGTGAATTGGATTTTTATTCTATGAACACTGATTACACATTGGGGAGAAGGCAAGCCTAAAGCACCCTAAAGATCGGAGTCTGCTTAAAGTGGCACTTTAACTAAAAAAAAATAAAAATTGGAAGACAGGCAGGAATTTTAATGCAGAAGAGACATGCTGTGTCTCTTCTACATTATCCTCCCTGGCGGTATTCCTGAGTGTAGCTCGTTGTTAATTATCAGTGCCAAAAGCGGTAACCCCAAGCTACACACGGGATTACCCTGCAGCGTTGCTGCGAGATCCCTGTTTCACTTACCTTGTCCTGCGCTCCCACGATGCCCCCCCTGTAGCGTCCCTGGCCATCTCCTCTGGTCGATGCCCACATCCATCTTCCAGGTTCCATTCCCTGCGAGCGTCGGGACATACAGGGACCAGAATCGGCGGGAAATTTTAAAATTTTAAAAAGTGACATTCACAAAATACACTAAAATCACATAGTAAAACATTACTGTATCAAACCTTTTCACATACATTTTGTCCCTAGTGCTTTGTCCTGTGCCCTGCCTGCATTTTTACTGTTCTTTCTGCCTGGAAACTGAGAAACGTCCATGGTGTCCAAAAAGCGTCCCTTTACATCAAAAGCGGGTTTAGATCAGCTAGAGAACAGCGAAAGTAAATTAGAACCACTTGCAGAATTGAGTGATAATGATTCGTGGGGAAATTCATCATCAGACACTGAAAACGATTTTGCGACTAAGCTCAGTGATGTGCGAACTTGGCGCTATATTTCAAATTTCAGTGTTTTTGGTTTGATTATATTATTGAATTAAATTTATTATATTATTATTTTTAATGATTATTTATTATATTTTATGATTTCGTGTTTAAAATTCTATCATACCCGGGATGTTTACTAGACTCTTGTTCGGATGGATTTCAGTTATTCCTAAAAATTACAGGCCTACAATAAAAAAGTTTATGACATATTTCCATGCAAAAAAAATGTAATGCTTTGTGCACAGAAATATTGACCTAATCATACCGCTAGGGAGGTTAAAGTTACCTGCCTGTCCGCCCCTGTACAGTGAGCCATGCATGTACAGCTCACTGTATAAATTCGTCAATGCTGAATCTGATGGAGTGACATCATCCCGGCCAATAACAGCGGCTGGCAGTCAAGACCCAGAATCCAGACACTCGAAGATGTCAGCAGTCGGGCGGCTAGCATCGCTGAAACTAAGGTGAGTATAGTTCTGCTTTAACTAGTTGCAGACTTTAGCGTGAAAAACGTAATCATTCTACACAGGGAATATGTAGCTCATCCAGCCTCTCTGCCCTGCTTTTGGAACCCTCCCTTCCCAGTATAACCTAATTGTTGGCATTGAGTAATCATGAAGCTGGCATTACAATACACTCAGAGGAGAAGTGGATATATACAAACTTACATTTTTATTATTATTATTATTATACAGGATTTATATAGCGCCAACAGTTTTCTCAGCGCTTTACAATATAATGGGAGACAGTACAGCAACAATACAGTTCAATACAAGAGGGTTAGGAGGGCCCTGCTCCTCAGAGCTCATTTATATCTTTTTGTTCACTCATCTGCAGGGATTAATTTAGTTCTGGAGATGATGTCAGTTAAAGCAACCTGACAAGTAAAAAGGTGTTTTTTCGTGGGTTTTTTTTTTTGTTTTGTTTTTTTTTAATAGGAATGTATCTCTGTTTAACCCCTTATTAACCCTTAGGTTACTCTAAGCCGCCATAATTAAGTCCGTTTCCTTCTTTATTAAACTATTATTTTCTTGCTGACATTTTTTTTTTCTATTTTATTAATTTCTATTCATATTTAAACTTCTTGTTTTCTTTGTTTAATATTTTTTATATATATTTAACATACAAAATAAAAAAAATACTGTATTTCATTTGTAAATAACTTTGCAATGCTTTGTACCAGAATCATAATTTTGGTGTTATTTTAAAAATGACAAATTACAGAATAAGATGTGCTCTGTATATGTGCAGTAGCACTATATATTTTTAAAATAACACTACCCAAAAAAGTGCATTTTGTATATTTTTGTTGCATTGTTATTGTCTGAGGATTGTGAAAACAAAAAATCATATGGCAATATCATGAAAAGAGAGCCTTGTTTGCCCTTACAAAAAATGTATGTATTACCTTGTTATCTTTAGTAATGATAAAATTGTTGTGGAATAAACAGGTCCACATCAGAAATGTAAGAATTGCTCTGGTCCATAGTGGGTGAACAGGTGTGAGAGGTGAAGTGGTTAAAGGAAATGTGTAATTGTTTAATTTGTAACAAGTTGGATGGAGTATTTCTGAAAGATATGATTTTTTTCATCAAAACAGTTACCGTATTTTCCGGCGTATAAGACGACTTTTCAACCCCTGAAAATCTTCTGAAAAGTCGGGGGTCGTCTTATACGCCGGTGCGACCCGGTGTCAGGGCGGCACTTTTTCGAGGGCCGGTGCGGCACTGCCCCCCCCCTTCTCCAACGGACACTAAGTACAGGGGTGGGCAGAGGGGCTGCTGTACCTTACCTGGCTCCGGTCCCATGACGATCCGGTCCAGGAAGCGCGGCTGCTCCTTCTTTCAGTTCGGCCACTCGATGGTCACGCGGCCGCTCGGCTCCGCCTCCTCACCGGTGATTGGGCTCCAGCACTGGAAAGGCACACAGGCGACCAATCACCGGCGAGGAGGCGGAGCCGAGCGGCCCCGCGAAAATCGAGCGGCCGAACTAGAAGAAGGAGCAGCCGCTCCTCTCCCCCACTGACACCAACGATGGGGCACTATTCCTCCTCCCACTGACACCAACGATGGGGCACTATTCCTCCCCCCCCACTGACACCAACGATGGGGCACTATTTCCCCCCCCCCCCACTGACATTCCCCCCCCCCCAACGATGGGGCACTATTCCTCCCCCCCCCCACTGACACCAACGATGGGGCACTATTCCTCCCCCCCCCACTGACCCAACGATGGGGCACTATTCCTCCCCCCCCCCACTGACACCAACGATGGGGCGCTATTCCTCCCCCCCCCACTGACACCAACGATGGGGCGCTATTCCTCCCCCCCCCACTGACACCAACGATGGGGCGCTATTCCTCCCCCCCCCACTGACACCAACGATGGGGCGCTATTCCTCCCCCCCCACTGACACCAACGATGGGGCGCTATTTGCCCCACTGACACCAACGATGGGGCCCCCCCCCCACTGACACCAACGATGGGGCGCTATTGCTCCCCCCCCCCCCCACTGACACCAACGATGGGGCGCCCCCCCCCCACTGACACCAACGATGGGGCGCTATTCCTCCCCCCCCCACTGACACCAACGATGGGGCGCTATTCCTCCCCCCCCACTGACACCAACGATGGGGCGCTATTCCTCCCCCCCCCACTGACACCAACGATGGGGCGCTATTCCCCCCCCCCCACTGACACCAACGATGGGGCGCTATTCCTCCCCCCCCCACTGACACCAACGATGGGGCGCTATTCCTCCCCCCCCACTGACACCATGGGGCGCTATTCCCCCCCCCCCCACTGACACCAACGATGGGGCGCTATTCCTCCCCCCCCACTGACACCAACGATGGGGCGCTATTCCTCCCCCCCCCACTGACACCAACGATGGGGCGCTATTCCCCCCCCCCCCACTGACACCAACGATGGGGCGCTATTCCTCCCCCCCCCACTGACACCAACGATGGGGCGCTATTCCTGGGGCGCCCCCCCCACTGACACCAACGATGGGGCGCTATTCCTCCCCCCCCCCACTGACACCAACGATGGGGCGCTATTCCCCCCCCCCACTGACACCAACGATGGGGCGCTATTCCCCCCCCCCCCCCACTGACACCAACGATGGGGCGCTATTCCCCCCCCCCCCACTGACACCAACGATGGGGCGCTATTTCCCCCCCCCCACTGACACCAACGATGGGGCGCTATTCCTCCCCCCCCCCACTGACACCAACGATGGGGCGCTATTCCCCCCCCCCCACTGACACCAACGATGGGGCGCTATTCCTCCCCCCCCACTGACACCAACGATGGGGCGCTATTCCCCCCCCCCACTGACACCAACGATGGGGCGCTATTCCCCCCCCCCACTGACACCAACGATGGGGCGCTATTCCCCCCCCCACTGACACCAACGATGGGGCGCTATTCCCCCCCCCCCACTGACACCAACGATGGGGCGCTATTCCCCCCCCCCCCCACTGACACCAACGATGGGGCGCTATTTCCCCCCCCCACTGACACCAACGATGGGGCGCTATTCCCCCCCCCACTGACACCAACGATGGGGCGCTATTCCCCCCCCCACTGACACCAACGATGGGGCGCTATTCCCCCCCCCCACTGACACCAACGATGGGGCGCTATTCCTCCCCCCCCACTGACACCAACGATGGGGCGCTATTCCCCCCCCCCACTGACACCAACGATGGGGCGCTATTCCCCCCCCCCCACTGACACCAACGATGGGGCGCTATTCCCCCCCCCCCACTGACACCAACGATGGGGCGCTATTCCCCCCCCCCACTGACACCAACGATGGGGCGCCCCCCCCCCACTGACACCAACGATGGGGCGCTATTCCTCCCCCCCCCCACTGACACCAACGATGGGGCGCTATTCCCCCCCCCCCACTGACACCAACGATGGGGCGCTATTTCCCCCCCCCACTGACTGACACCAACGATGGGGCGCTATTTCCCCCCCCCCACTGACACCAACGATGGGGCGCTATTTCCCCCCCCCACTGACACCAACGATGGGGCGCCCCCCCCCCCACTGACACCAACGATGGGGCGCTATTCCCCCCCCCCACTGACACCAACGATGGGGCGCTATTTCCCCCCCCACTGACACCAACGATGGGGCGCTATTCCCCCCCCCCACTGACACCAACGATGGGGCGCTATTCCCCCCCACTGACACCAACGATGGGGCGCTATTCCTCCCCCCCACTGACACCAACGATGGGGCGCTATCCCCCCCCCCCCACCACACCAACGATGGGGCGCTATTCCCCCCCCCCACTGACACCAACGATGGGGCGCTATTCCCCCCCCCCCACTGACACCAACGATGGGGCGCTATTCCCCCCCCACTGACACCAACGACTGACACCACTGACGAACGGGGCGCTATTTCCCCCCCCCACTGACACCAACGATGGGGCGCTATTCCCCCCCCCCCCCACTGACACCAACGATGGGGCGCTATTCCCCCCCCCCACTGACACCAACGATGGGGCGCTATTCCCCCCCCCCCCACTGACACCAACGATGGGGCGCTATTCCTCCCCCCCCCCCCCACTGACACCAACGATGGGGCGCTATTTCCCCCCCCCCAACCCCCCCCACTGACACCAACGATGGGGCGCTATCCCCCCCCCCCCCACTGACACCAACGATGGGGCGCTATTTCCCCCCCCCCCAACGATGCTAATTCCCCCCCCCACTGACACCAACGATGGGGCGCTATTCCCCCCCCCCCCCCACTGACACCAACGATGGGGCGCTATTCCCCCCCCACTGACACCAACGATGGGGCGCTATTCCCCCCCCCACTGACACCAACGATGGGGCGCTATTCCCCCCCCACTGACACCAACGATGGGGCGCGCTATTTCCCCCCCCCCCCACTGACACCAACGATGGGGCGCTATTATTCCCCCCCCCCCCCACTGACACCAACGATGGGGGGCGCTATTCCCCCCCCCCCCACTGACACCAACGATGGGGCGCTATTTCCCCCCCCCCCCCCCCCTACTGACACCAACGATGGGGCGCTATTCCCCCCCCCCACTGACACCAACGATGGGGCGCGCACCATATTCCCCCCCCCCCACTGACACCAACGATGGGGCGCTATCCCCCCCCCCACTGACACCAACGATGGGGCGCAATTCCCCCCCCCACTGACACCAACGATGGGGCGCTATTCCCCCCCCCCCCCACTGACACCAACGATGGGGCGCTATTCCCCCCCCCACTGACACCAACGATGGGGCGCTATTCCCCCCCTGACACCAACGATGGGGCGCTGAATTCCCCCCCCCCGATGACACCAACGATGGGGCGCTATTCCCCCCCCACTGACACCAACGATGGGGCGCTATTCCCCCCCCACTGACACCAACGATGGGGCGCTATTCCCCCCCCCACTGACACCAACGATGGGGCGCTATTTCCCCCCCCCACTGACACCAACGATGGGGCGCTATTCCCCCCCCCCACTGACACCAACGATGGGGCGCTATTCCCCCCCCACTGACACCAACGATGGGGCGCTATTCCCCCCCACTGACACCAACGATGGGGCGCTATTCCCCCCCCACTGACACCAACGATGGGGCGCTATTCCCCCCCCCCCCACTGACACCAACGATGGGGCGCTATTCCTCCCCCCCCCACTGACACCAACGATGGGGCGCTATTCCCCCCCCACTGACACCAACGATGGGGTGGTAATGTGTGTAATCCTTTCAAGCTGAAAAAAATAATTTTGTTTCTTTTTTTTTGTTTTTTTTTGTTTTTTTTAGCTATTACGGCTTCTTATGCCTCAAGAAAAATATGACAAGAATAATGCAATACTAGAGGTGGTATCTGGCAGAACTACTGGAGGTTAGTTTGTCGTATATTTAATGTTGTAAATAAAAATCGCAATCCATACATAGTGCACTATTGTGGGTACATAACTCTACAGGTTTGTGGAAAGAGACTATGCATTTGCACATGCTGGTATTTGAGTTTTATTGGACTGTCATGTATTCCCAAAACTCAAGTGACCCTGTAACATTATTATTATTATACAGTATTTATAAAGCGCCAATAGTTTGCTCAGCGCTGTACATTACAAAGGGGGACAGAACATGTGACAGAACAATACCAATACAATGCAAAACATGAGGGGATCGAGGGCCCTGCTCTTTCGAGCTTACAATCTAGGAGATAATGACTAACCAGCTTTGCGGTCACTGACGACTCCTTGTTTCATCCATTTTTCTACTATCCCCTCGTTATACTGAACAGCCTTACCAACCAATAAAGCAGATGAGACAAAGGCAGCTCCAGCAACCATGAAGCCTGTCTTTAGTTACATTTCAGTGTGACCTGGACATTCTGCAAGAGTCATTTTACATTATTTTATGGGACCACAGGTTCTCATTTTAAATCCAATTTGCAATATGCAGGTTGTTTTTGGCTACTGTGATTATTCATTTTGGATGATAATACGCAAAGTAACTTCACCAAAAAGTCACATATACATGAAAATGACAATTCTGCTCATCTCCGTGAGCTGCTTTCAACAGCCAGTTTTAACACTCTGGTGCTTGATGTTGGCCCTACTCACACGGAAGCACTTGTTGATGCACATTGTGTTAAAGAAGCTCACTCACTTTGAATGGATCCTTTGATGCATATAAAAATACACCTGTACTAGTAAGCAATGCAGAGTACAACAGCACACAAACCATTCAGGTCATTGTGTTGTGGTAGACTGAAAGGGAAGTGCATTTGTTTATACTACATATGTGTTGGAGTGCCTTTCACAACTCACATTAATGTGCAGCACAGTGTGCATAAGTGTGATTTTGGCTTATTAAGGGTTAGTTCACACAAAACTAATATTTCAGAGTACTTTTTGATCTATGCGGGACTCCAGAGTCAAAATTTCTATATCTTAGTTTCTTTCTCATCTCTGCCTGCAGTAAAGTCTCACGCTTACTACTGTAGCCACAGGGCATCACGTTGCATGTGCAAGCATGTTGAAGCAGAAGGCGCTTTATTGTGTGTTAAAGTCAAAGGAAGTGTAAATGAGCCCCAATTTTTTTTTTTTCCCAGTTTTTTTTGTTTTGGACAAAGTAGGGAAGATTTAGAATGCCCTGTCCAGTTTTTAATGCAATTTGTGTTTTTGTTGGGGAGATTCAATTTTATATTTGTCCTATTGACTGCTGTCACCAGGACTAAAGATGAATCAAAAAGCAATATTTTGAGTTTGCACCAAAACTGGAATAGAATAGAAATCTTGCAAAGGAGACACTTGTTCTAGTGACAGCTGTCTTAGAGGGAATTTAACTCACTTTGGATAGATTTCCTCTTACTTCCTGTTGTGTTTACAGGACAAGAAGTGAAGGAAAATCTCCTGCATAGTGCTCAAATGTGAGAAAATAAACTTACAGAGGTTTTAACTATCACCTACTCTATCTAAAATGAAAAGTAAAGTTTTAGCTTTATATATACTTTAACTGCCACATAATATAATATCAGGTAAACATGCACAATCCTCTAAAGGTGGAGCTGTATCTCTACTGTATGCTGCATAATATTATTAAGCTATTCTTATTATGAAGGCTGTGTTTGCACCTTTTATAATATAGTGTGTGTCTGTGTTTATGTACTGTGTGTATCTACAGTATGTGAATGCAGTTTGTACCAGTAATATATAAATGAGTAGCTGTCTGTTATCTTTTTAGTAGTGTGTGTGAAGTATCTGTGAAAGGTTTAGTAACTTTCTTCTTTTTTAGGTGATATTTGCCAGCAGTTTACTAGAGAGATTTTTGACATGTACCAAAACTATGCACACTACAAGTCTTGGACATTTGAGATCTTGAATTACATGCCGGAAGGCTCTGGTAATATTTTGGACACTATTCCTTTCACATTAACGAATGTCATCCTTTTGTGTATAAGAAGCCAATGCTTTGCTAACTGAATGAAAACTATCTTATTTAAGGTGGAACTCCAGGAAGATATTAACCAAAACACCCTCTAATTCAGTCATGTTTAAACTAAAGCATAATTAAATGTATTTTAAAACATGGCTGGTATATGTACCCAACTCTTTTGGTATTGCCTTAAAACCGTATTAAACCCAAAAGCATACATTATTATATTGCCGCTTATCAATTCTTAGATGGGATGGCCACATACATTTCTTTTTAGGCTTTCTTTTTTCTATTTTCATCTGGTGATCCAGCCAGTAAGTCTATTTGTTTTTCCACAGAAAAACTCTTTTGCAGTTATAGGGATGAGACAAACTATTTACCACTGGCAGGGGTGATTACAATGATCAGCTTTTATTTATGTAAAACCGTTCTCTCAAAAGGAACAAAACTGTTTGCTGTAACTGATTATAGGGTATAAGCTGGAGTTTGGCTTCAATTTGTTACTTTATCTGCTAGTACATGTAATACTCCCCTCCTCCCAGACTGCCAGTTTTACTGTCCAAATCTGCCTCCTGTGCTCACTCATCAAGAGCGGTGTCTGTAATATACAGGAGGTGTGTTACTGGCCAGATCACCAGGTGAAAACGAGAGAGAAAAAAGACTAAAGAAAAAAGAGAACGAATACAGCCACCACATCTAATGGATTGGTAAACTGCAATATGTTACATTTTTGGTTTAGGGATTAATACCACTTTAATGCAGTTGCTTGTACAGCAGTACAAAGACAGTGAGTAGAACTGTTAGTACTCTGAGTATACAATCTACATAAACACAATGCAATGGTTTGCAAAACTAATAAACCCATATTTTATTCACAATATAATGTAGAAAACATCTAATGTTTAAGCTGAGACAATGTACCATTTTAAGAAAAAAAGAAAAAGGTTATTTTTAAATTGATGGCAGCAACACATGTTGAAAAGTTGGGACAGGGCCTTGTTTAACGCATTGTAGCATCCCCTTTTCTTTTAATAGCACTCTGTAAACTTCTGAGAACTGAGGAGACCAGCTACTGCTGTTTTGGGAGAGGAATGTTGTCTCATTCTTGCCTGATATAGGATTCTAACTGCTTAACAGTCCTGGGTCTTCTTTGTTGTCTTTTTCGTTTCAAGATGCTCCAAATATTTTCAATTGGTGAAAGGCCTGGACTGCAGGCAGGCCAGTTAGTCACCCAGACTCTTCTATTACAAAACCATACTGTTGTCATAGATGCAGTATGCGGTTTAACATTGTCCTGCTGAAATATGCAAGGCCTTCCCTGAAAAAGACGTCTTCTGGATGGGAGCATATGTCATCTCTATCTTTCAGCATTGATGGTGCGTTTCCAGATGTGCAAGCTGCCCACTCCATACACACCAATGCACCCCTACATTATCAGAGATGCAGGCTTTTGTACGGAGCACCAATAAAAAACCAGAAGGTTCCTCCTCCTCTTTGGTCTGAAGGGCGCGGCGCCCATGGGGGCCAAAAAGAATGTCAAATTTTGATTAGTCTGACCATAGAACGGTTTTTCACTTTGCAACAGACCATTTTAATTGAGCTTTGGCCCAGAGAAGATGGCGACATTTCGGGATCATGTTCAGATATGGCTTCTTCTTTGCATGATAGAGCTATACTTTGCCTTTATGGATTGCACAGTGAACTGTGTTCACAGAGATTAATTTTTTTGGACGTATTCCTGAGTCCATGCATTGATGTCCATCGCAGAATCATGCCTATTTTTAATGTAGTGCCATTTGAGGGCCCGAAGATCAGATTTCCAACATTAAGTTTTGGCAATGTCCCTTGTGCACAGAGATTTCTCCAGATTCTCAGAATTTTTTGATGAGATTATGCACTGTTGATGATGATATTTTTAAAGTGTTTGCAATTTTACGTTGAGGAATATAATTCTGAAATTGCTCGACAATTTTTAGATGACGTTTTTTCAGATTGGTGAACCTTTGCCCATTTCCACTTCTGAGACACTCTGACTCTAAGATGCCCTTTTTATAACCAATCATATTACTGACCTGTTGTCAATTAACCTAAATATTTGCAAAATGTTCTTCCAGCTCTTCCTTATTAGTAACATGTACTTTGACAGCTTTTTGTTGCCCTGTCTTTTGTTAAGATGTGTTGCTACCATCAGTTTCAAAATGGCCTTACTTTTTGCTTAAAGTGGTACATTTTCTCAGTTTAAACAACTGATATGTTTTCTATTGTGAATAAAATATGTTTTTTTTTTTAACATAATTCTGTTTTTATGAAGATTTTATACAGCATCCCATCATTTTGGAATTGAGGGTGTACATTGTCCATCATTTTGTGAGCATCCTTACAGGAGGTGGAACACAGCGGTAACTTCATTAATATGCTACTGCTCCTACATTGACCTAAAGCAGGCTAGGGATGGAGAAGTGACTGCAGAAGCAAAATATCAGAGATTGATTCCCTGCAGTCACTCATCAGATAGGTGAGTACCATTACCATGATTTGAGGGAGAGAGTTGTAGTGTATTGTGTGTATATAATAAATTATATATATATATATATGATTTATTTATTCTCAAGTTATTAAGCCAGAATATGATTGAGCTAGATGTATTTTACACAACAAATGCAGCCAAGAACTCTTTGCTAAGTTCATTTTCAAAGTAGGTAATTTGCAAATTGCAAGGGTGATAAAATGCAGATAGCTCAGTCAGACTTGAAAGAAGTTGGCCAACGGAGGTATTAAGTATAATAAATAGCATTCTTCAAAGGGTAACTTGTTTATCTAATTAATAGTAAAAGAATGCAGTTTAGGAAATATCTAAACAACTTTACTTTAGCTTTCCAAGCCCAAAAGGCATTACCTGTCACCCAGAAGATCAAAGGGGCTCCTAAAAGTGGCCAATCAGAGTGCTTGCCATTGTACTGAATGGGAAAAATGTGTATGTTAAGGAAACTTATTTTTGGTTAAGTGTGAAAGTACACAGGAAAGTTCTCTGAAGGGTTCTAATGATTGCCTGTCATCTGCCTTGCCTGTAACTCCACTGGGAGAGGAGCTTCTTCCTTTCATTAATATGGAAGCACAGGTGTAGATCATAACTCACATTATTGCATGCATGGAAGCTACCTAGGTGCATATTATAGATCGGACATATGCTGGACGTTGTAGTATCTCTATGCTTGATATGAAGAAATGGGACTTTGAGGGTTGTTGTTAATTGTAATATCTACAAGTATTCAGCTGGATTTCTGTCATCTGTAACAAATATCTTTATCCGAATAAATGCATCTCTCTGGAAAAGAACTGTTAGTTGCTGTGGGAAAAGTACATTTATAAATATACACTGGTCATACGTCCTCCATCATTGATATAAGACAACAGATTTGTCTTATGAACTGTTTCTGTGTGGACCTCATAATTTTAAGACAACAAGAGTGATGATCTGGTTTTTTTTTTTGTAAAGCTGGATGTTATGGAAGGAGCCCGATGTTCCATATCTGTGAAGCCTTTGATATTCGCTTATTTTTGGGCAAAACTCTAGCCCATACCACGCATTAGTATTGCTATACAAGTCATCCCTAATTATACATTTACTGAACGTAGCACATGCTTGCTTACCTGATCTATGAAAAATGCCACCCCACCTTCCCATACCTCTTTAGTTTTTAATGTTGCAAGACAGATGGCAGAACTGACAGCCTCTATCGAAAATATGGAAGAGAAATTTAGTACTGCCTGATCCTCATGAATCCACTTTGTGCATTTCCCTCAATACTTAGATTTTAGAATGTCACACCCAAATGCTCATAACCAAGGCTAAAACGTTTTACCTTATTCACGATGATATAGTTGTTCAGAGTACTACTGGTGCCCCCTATCTTTCATTGGTTGATGGGCACAAAGCCTCCTATACCACCACACCCTCCCACCCATCCCCATCCTTTCCATTTAAGACTATAGTTTACTCTCTACCCCACCCCTGTCCTACCTTTAAAGAGTTAGTCCACTTACATAAAAAAAAAAAAAGGTAAATTTAAAAAAGTTGTATTGTCTTCTTTTCACTTTACCTTGTTTTGCATCTTCTAACATGTTCACCTAGGTCTTAAGACTTCACAGCTTACTGATGTAATATTATCTCGCCTCGTATATTACATGGATAAAAATGTTTAACTGTAAAAAAATAACAGTGTGTATATTGCTTAGAGCCTGTTCACATATATGCAGATTAGGTGCAGTTTGAACTGCATCCAATCCGCATGACATGTGAAAAAACATTGCTTCCTATGGTGCCTGTTCACATATGTCTGGTGCTCTGGCGGTGCAGACTCAGTTTGATTTTAAAAAGGGTCATGTCCGATTTCTGAGCAGTGCGGTCCTGTTCAGGTACGGATTACAGGCTATTGACTTCTATGGGAACTGTTTTTAAAACGCATATGTGTGAACAAGATAAGATCCTGAGCTGATCCTGTCCTGAACCTGATGTAAACCTGCCCTGAACCTGTGAACAACTACTGTGTCAATTAGCTGTGAAACCTGAGCTTCAATCCCCACTGCACATGTGTGAATCGGCTTTAACAGTGTTTACCTGAAGCATCTTTTAACCACTAGTACAGGGCACTCATACCCCCTTCCTGCCCAGGCCAGTTTTCAGCTTTCAGCGCTCTCACACTTTGAATGACAATTGTGTGGTCATGCAACACTGTACCCATATAAATTTTTTTATCATTTTTTTGAGACAGATAGAGCTTTCTTTTTGTGGTATTTAATCACCTCTGGCTTTTTTTATTTTTTGCTAAACAAACCAAAAAAACTGAAAATTTTGAAAAAAAAAAAAAAAGTTTTTTTCTTAGTTTTTGTTACAAAATTTAGTAAATAAGTGATTTTTCTCCATCACTGATGTGTGCTAATGAGGCTGCAGTGATGGCACTGATAGGCTGCACTGACAGGTGGCACTGATGAGGAGGCACTAGTAGGTGGCACTGATGGGCATTGACAGGCATCACTGATGGGCACTCTAAGGCAGCACTCATATATGGCACTGATAGGCGGCACTGACTGGCACTGATAGGTGGCACTGAAAGGCAGCTCAGATGGGTACTGGTATGTGGCATTAATTTGCACTGGTAGGCACTGATATGTGGCACTGATGGGCACTGGCAGGTGGCATTGATGGGCAATGACAGCTGGCATTGATGGGCACTGACAGGTGGCACTGCTGGGGCTGTCAGCGTGACAGCTCGAGAGGAGAGAAATGCCGATAACTGGCATTTCCCTATTTACATGCGAACAGCTGTGATTGGACACAGCTGATCACATGACCGAGCAGACATATATTCGGCTTTTTCCGTTGATCGGTGATCCACTGTGTCCGAGGGACACAACGCACCACCGATCGCCGTGCTGCATGCTCCCCGAGCTGCGCATGCGTGATTAGAGTGGGAGGACGTCATATGACGTCCTCCCAGAACGAGAGAACCACCTTGCGCCCGTCATTACCCTATATGGCGGGCAGGAGGCGGTTAAAATAGTAGTGTTGAGAATATTTACGTTTACACTTGTTATAGTATTCTGTGTACTAATCGGTCATTGAATGTGGACCAGTTGTTTGTACAACATATACAGTATGTATTGGGTCTGTTGTGGTTGTGCCTAATGAAAGGCCTCTTAATTTTGTTCCAGGAGGGCTTCACCATGCGGCTGCACGAATTGCGGGTGAAGGGGTTTACAAGCAGTTAAAATATGAAGGGGGAGTTCACAGAGTTCAGCGCATTCCACAGGTGGGCCTGTCCTCTAGGATGCAGAGGATTCACACAGGAACCATGACTGTAATTGTCCTTCCACAGCCAGATGAGGTAAAGTACATGAAATTTATCATCCAAGTTATGGTGGTTGTCATATGTTTTATTTATAAAAATTAAGCAGTTTTTATGTCCTGAATAGGTTGATATTAAAATTGATCCAAAGGACTTGAGAATCGATACATTCAGAGCTAAAGGGGCTGGAGGTCAACATGTTAATACGACAGACAGTGCAGTGAGGATTGTTCACCTACCTACAGGTACTGTATAATATCAGTCTGTTACAATCAATGCACTGCCAGCAAAGGGACCTGAACTCCAGGCAAACAGTTAAAGTGGTTGTAAAGGCTCAAGGCTTTTACCTTCATGCATACCATGCATGAAGGTGAAAAACCTTCTATGTGCAGCATCTGCAACCCCCCCCCATACATACTCAACTAATCCCCTTCTCAATCCAGCGCGCACTGTAGTCTTGGCTATCCCGGGACTCCCTCTCCTCATTGGCTGAGACAGCAGTGGGATCCATTGGCTCCCACTGCTGTCAATCACAGCCAGTAAGCCAATGAGAAGAGGGCTCCGTGTGTGAATGGACACATCGAGCAGCGGCTGGGGAGTGTGCATGCTTGGGTGCCTCCATAGCTGCTTGCTGTCAGGGCACCTGACGGGAGGGAGGGGCCAGAAGCATTGGCAGGGGGACCCAAGAAGAGGAGGATTTGGGCTGCTCTGTGCAAAACCACTGCACAAAGCAGGTAAGTATAGACACGTTTTTTTTTTTTTTTTTTTTTTTTTCCTTTTTCTTTTTTAGCCTTTATAATCACTTTAAATACACAGGTAAAATACATATATTACATATATATGTTGATATGTGTACATCTATGTACAATATATGTTATCTGTCAAAGGATTTATATTTATCTCCTGCCACACCTGATATTTGTATAGCCAGGTAGTACGCTTAAGACAAGAATTCATTAGTGTCCTCTTTCCACCCCTAGTCTGCGATCTGGACAATGAAAGAGCAGCTACAGCCTATGAGAAAAGGGAGTCCCGGGATAGCCTAGACTTCAGTGCACATCCCTGGATTGAGAAGGGGCTGGGGTGAGTATTATGGGGGGGGTTGGGGGGATGCTGCACAATGAAGGTTTTATACCTTCATGCATAGAATGCATGAAGGTAAAAAACCTTGAGCCTTTAGAACCACTTTAAAGACACGTTCTTTTTTCATCCCTCCTTTCCATACCCCCCACTGTTTGACTACCATTTATATTGATATTGTCAATCAAACCACCACATATTTCTAGTTTCTTTATACTTCAATCTCGTTTCTTGTTCTTATTACCATTGTTTTTGCACTAATGTTTCTGTGCTATATTTCTTAATATTCCATGACTTATTGTGCATTCTGTGATATGTTTATGTCAAAATTATTATGTCATGGTGGTTCAGATCATAAGTGCAAGTAGTACACGCAGTTTACAAAACCATTTTTGTTCTCATGTAGGGATGTCAGTGGAATGCCAAGAAGGGCGTTCTCAAATTCTGAATAAGGAAACTGCTATGAAGGTGCTAAGAGCTAAACTCTTTGAACAGACAGTAAATCAAGAGCTGTCCCAAAGGCAACGTGCCAGGAAACTGCAGGTGGGTTAAATACACGCTACATTAACTTTCACCTAACTATGGCCTTCTGCTTGTTGTAAACTGGCCTCTGCAAGATGAAGGCCCTGCATACACCGCCTACTCATTCCAAGCCAGGGATCCACTGTGCAGAGCGGCAGTGGGTGCTGTGTGCTGAGGTGCAAAGTGTTCCAGCACCCAACTATTATTTACATGCACTATTGGGTGAAGTGATCTTCTGCCCAATAATGCAAGCTGTAACTTCACAACGAGAAGTGGTGCAGGACACGGAGCCCACAGGGAAGTGAATGCCACCGACACGTCTATCACAAGAGCTCTTTTTTTAATCCCACTAACAGCAATGCAAGGATAGACTATTTTTTGGATCCAGTGACACCAATGAATTATGGGACTCATTTAATATGCCTACTGACACCAATATCTGGGTGGAGGATTTAGCCCACTGACACAAATGCTTGACGGGGGGCTCTTTTATTATGCCCATTGACACAAAATCTGGGGGTTTCTTTATTATTACAACTGCCACCAGTGCCTGAAGAGCTGTTTTGTTACACTCATTGACACAAACGCTGGGGCTCCATTCTGACCACTGATGTAAAGGTTTTCGGGTTTTCTTTTACTCCTACTGACCTCCAGCACAGAGGCCTTTGCTAATCATATATTCCAGGACACAGGAGAAGTTTTCTGTAAGATTGGGTTATGCTGCTCTCTTCATGAGATTGGACACAGGCAAAGTGGGAGTAAAAAGCATTTTTTACTCCCACTGACCACTGGTGCAGGGTAATTTATTATCACTGACCACTGAGGCAGGGACATTTTTTACTTGTACTTACCATTGATGCAGAGTACTTCTTTACTCCCATTGATGCACGGGCAGTTTATTACTTACTCTGATGCAGGGGGATTTTATTTTTTTTAACTCTTATTGACCTCCAAAGCTGGGGCATTTTTTATTTGGCATTTTTTTGGCCACAGTCTGACCCCCCCCAATCTGAAGACCAGTGAATTGGCCCTTTGAAATTTTTTGAGACCCCTGCACTCTGTGATGCATAATATTTAATGCTGTAGTTCTAGATACTTTAGAACAAGCTGCACCCATTTCATGCTATTTCTTCATCTACGTTTTGTATATGTTATTTACTTTGTTTTTTAGCCATTCTGTTCTCTAGAAAAGTTGTGTAGTATTTGACAGCAATAGCTGCAAATGTGTCATACTCTTGAAAGTCATTATACTGTTTTCTTTAAACATTTGATGAGTGTTAAGTTATGGTTGTATTACCCATACAGGTTGGTACAAGAGACCAGTCTGACCGAATTCGTACTTACAATTTCACTCAGGACAGACTAACGGACCACCGGATATCCTATGAATCTAGAAATTTAAAGGTAAGTATTTAAAGCGGTAGTAAACCGCCAAAAAAAAAGAAATGGGTCCCTTGCTGGTTTATCCTATAATGTGCCAGTATGCACTGAATACAAGGACATTATGACACACTTACCTGCACACAGAGCCCTCCAGCGCAGCACTGTCATGGATCCCTCAGTGCTTCCATCTTCACCCGATCTTCCTTCCGGGGTCACGGCCTTGGGCTGTTTGAATGACCAGGGCTGCAATGACATCACTCCTGCGCATGCACGCAGGAGTCCCGGCTACAACTCTGCGCTCCTCAATGGCAAACTGTGTGTCCTGAATGCAAAGTGTCACTGCGCATGTGTGGGTGACATCATCAGCTATTGCTGATGTGAATATCTCCTAAACTGTGCACGTTTAGGAGTTATTCACCTACAGGTAAGCCTGATTGTAAGCGTGCGTACTTGTAGGTACAAATTACTACAGGGAACTATACTACCACTTTAATCTACATATAACCACCCAACTCAGCACTACAGACATGCACTACCCCCAAAATTAATACAATGTGCAATATTGTTGCAGCCTCCAATTCAATATACCCAAAATATGCATCACAATATAACAATAAGAAAGGTGCTGCGAACACAAAAGGTGTGTAATATAAAATAAACACTACTGTGAAAATTCATTAGATGTAGTGTAAGACAAATGAAGATTAGTACATCCTGCAACAGTTCTCCAGTGCTCAAACACCTCTCCCCAGCAGACTAGGACTCACTAGACAACAATGCCTCTCTTTTTACAGATTGTCATATAACGCTTATATAGATGATGTCCATCAACGCTTATAGAGATGATGTCCACCTCTCTTGTGGAACTCCCCATATGGTAAATAGGATAGAAAAAAGAAGCTCCAACAGTGTTACACTGTGATACTAAAATGTGCTTTATTTGCATTAAAAACACACTCACAAGAAGCTAAAACAATCTAGCATTATTAAAGTGACTCACCCTGCATGATGTATTGTGCCAGAAGGAACTTTGAACCGTGGTCTCGGTCTGAACCAATGTCCACTGCATTAATTCCGATATGTCACTGCCGGCACTTCTGACGTCACATCCAGTTGCTGCTCGAGCAACACCCAAACCTTCCCCTTGACAAAGTCGGAATAGACTAAACCTTGGGGCGTTGGTTGAGCAGCAACTGAATATGACGTCAGTGGCAGTTCCAGAAGGGACTCCGTGGACATTGGGTGAGACCGTGACCACGCTTTAATGTTCCTTCTGGCACAATACATCATGCAAGCTGAGTCACATTAGTAATGCTGGATTGTTTTAGCTTCTTGTGGGTGTGTAGTAAACTCTTCTTCAATAATTTTACCTACAGGTAAACTTATAATAAAGCTTACATTTACGTAAAATTAATATTTCCTAAACGTGAACCATTTAGGAGATATTAGCCATTTCTGATAGCCCTTACAAGAGCTCTGAAGGAACGGAATACCCATGCCATTCCTTCAGAGCACTGTGCCTTGGCCCGGGACTCTTGCATGCATGCGTGGGAATGATGTATTCGCAGCTCAGCCAGAGTTTGCAAACCTGGAAGGAAGACTGGGTGAAGATGGAAGTCCCAGGGAGCCATGACAGCACTCCATTGGAGGGCTTTGTTTCAAGGTAAGTCCTTCATAATGTGCTAATATGTAATGCATACTAGCATATTATACCTTTACCATGCAGGGGGTGGGGTTTTTTTCTTCTTTTTTTTGATACAGTTTACTACCGCTTTAATAGAAATAAAGAACAATTTTAGTAAAACAGATTTACATTATTGGAGCTCCTTTTTTCTTTCCTATTTACCATATGCAGAGTTTCGCAAGAGAGGAGAGACTGGACCCGCAACCATATTAGGGTCAGATTTTCAGGGCAGTCTGGGCAAAATTAACATTATTAGATGTTCCTTAAAAAATAGCATCTCTTCACTTTTTTTTCTTGATGGCTATAAAGACCTTGGACTTGCAATGTCTGCAGGTTCTTTGCCTGTTTTCTTGGTTGCTATATTACTGCTTGCTTAAATCTAGATTTTTTTTTTTTAATCCCCCCCCAACTCTTTTCTTTTCTTTCTCTCTTCTTCTCTCTCTCTCTCCCCCCCCCCCCCCCCCCGCTTTCTCTCTCTCTCCCCCTTTCCCCCCCCCCTTCTCTCCCCCTTTCCCCCCCCTTTCTCTCTCCCCCCCCCCTTTCTCTCTCACCCCCCCTTTCTCTCTCACTCCACCCCCCCCCTTTCTCTCTCACCCCCCCCCCCCTTTCTTTCTCTCACCCCCCCTTTCTTTCTCTTCCCCCCTTTCTTTCTCACCCCCCTTTCTTTCCCCCCCCTTTCTTTTTGTCTCCCCCCCCCCCCTTTCTTTGTCCCCCCCCCTTTCTTTGTCCCCCCCCCTTTTCTTTGTCCCCCCCCCCCCCCCCTTTCTTGTGTCTCCCCCCCTTTCTTTGTCCCCCCCCCCCCCCCCCCCCTTTCTTCTTTGTCTCCCCCCCTTTCTTTGTCTCCCCCCCCCCCTTTCTTTGTCTCCCCCCCCCCTTTCTTTGTCCCCCCCCCCCCTTCTTTTGTCTCTCCCCCTTTCTCTTTCTCTCTCCCCCCTCCCTCTCTTTCCCCCGTGAAGGCCTATAAGCAGTATCTCAATGTAAAAGGTTCACTGCTTTGAACTTAAGGACTGTGTTAGGTATGTCAGAAATTTTAAATCAAGCTGATTTCAGATTTCTGGAAAAAAGAGCAACCCACTACCATAGGAGAGAAATTAGATTTCTAAGCTCTCTTGCACACTGGCTTTAACCACAAGCCCACAGGGCACTTTTACCCCCTCCTGCCCGGCCCAATTTTCAGCTTTCAGCGCTGTCACACTTTGAATGACAATTGCATGGTCATGCAACACTGTACCCATATGAAATTATCATTTTTTTGAGACAGAGCTTTATTTTGGTAGTATTCAATTACCTCTGGGTTTTTTATTTTTTGCTAAACAAACCAAAAACCACTGGAAATTTTGAAAAAAAAGTTTTTTCTTTCGTTTTTGTTATAAAATTTTGTAAATAAGTGATTGTTTTCCTTCACTGATGTGCGCTAATGAGGCTGTAGTGATGGGCACTGATAGGCTGCACTGATGGACACTGATAGGTGGCACTGATGAGGAGGCACTGGTAGGTGGCACTGATGGGCATTGACAGGCATCACTGATGTGTACTGAAAGGCAGCACTCATATCTGGCACTGATAGGTGGCACTGTTAGGTGGCACTGACTGGCACTGGTAGGTGGCACTGATAGGTGGCACTGACGGGCACTGATATGTGGCACTGACTGGCATTGATATGTGGCACTGACTGGTACTGATAGGTGACACTGAAAGGCAGCTCAGATGGACACTGATATGTGGCATTGATGTGCACTGGTAGGCACTGATATGTGGCACTGAGGGGCACTGGCAGGTGGCATTGACTAGCACTGACAGCTGGCACTGATGGACACTGACAGGTGGCACTGCTGGGGCTACACAGATCATCAGGGCACACTGATCATCAGTGCACATGTCCCCTCTGAGTAATGCCGATTACCGGCTCTCCTCTCCTCACGAGCTGTCACCGTGACAGCTCGTTAGGAGAGAAATGCTGATAACCGGCATTTCCCTTTTTACATGTGATCAGCTGTGATTGGACACAGCTGATCACATGACTGAGCCGACATCTTCGGCTCTTTCCGTTGATCTGTGATCTGCTGTGTCCGAGGCACACAGGGCACCAACGATCGCCACGCTCCTGGAGCCGCGCATGTGCAGTTAGAATGGGAGGACATCATACGACCTCCTCCCAGAACGAGAGAACCGAGAGGCGGTTAAAAAATGCTGCTTTTGTTTGGCTTTTTTTAATTTTTCCGCTTGTAACAGCACCTCTATATTATCCTATGTGTCCATGCACGCATAGGTGTTTACAGATATATTAGAAAAGGACCATTTACAGGCAGATAATAAACATCCCCGGCGCATTGAGGAGAAGAGCTATTGGGCACAAAAAATGCAAAATGCGCCTAAATGCTAGGTGTGGTCACACTTTAATGCATTCTATAGGCCAGAATAAAGTAATATTCTAGCCAATAGAATGCATTAATGAGCATAAACGTGTGCGCTACATGGCTTTTCCCATTTTCGTTTATTTTTTTATTTATTTTTAAGCAGCTTTTCTCCTGCTAGGTGAAAGGGGTTCAGTGTAGCAAACACTCGATGTGCATGAGCCCTAAGCTGTTCTGACCAATGATAAGAGTTGCCGTGGTTGCAAAGGATAAGAATTCGAATTTTCAGTTTTAAAAAAAATCATAGATGGCTGCATATTAAATATTCAAATGCAATTTCAATAGCATGGGTGGTTATATCAATCTGTCAGGGCTCCCGGTAAGACCAGAGATGCGTGAACTGACACAGGGAAACGCAGGCTCAAGTATGGTGTAACAATATAATTTTATTAAGGGTTATACACAAAATATAACGCACAATATTACAAAACCAAACCTCCAACTGATAACGGAATGTACACAGATAAGAGCAGTCAGGGTTGGTGAGGTGGAGTGGTCAGGTGGGCCGGGTCAGGAATCATCGGGCAGACAAGGTACCAAAGGAGCAGGCTGGAGAGTGGTCAGGAATACCCAAGGTCAGGACAGGCGGAGTTCATTCAGGGTCAGGATCAAGCAGAATCAGGCAGGAAGCAGACAGGATGCAGGTACAGGGGCTCATGGGAAACATACACCAAGGCACTGACTGCAGGTCTGGCCATTCCTTAAATACACCTCCTGCAATCAGCCTCAGGTGATGGCTGACTGCAGGAGTGAGCTTCTGGTTGCTGAGAGCACCCGCTGGCCAGCCCTGGTACTGCAGCCCACAAGGCAGGTGAGTCCCACCACCATTGGCAAGTCCATTCCTGACACAATCATATTTGTTAGTCTTTTTAAAATGATAGCAGCGATTTGCTTTTGCTAAATAAAAAATAGGTGAAGTAACTGCACGCATTGTG